CGAAGGAGATAACAAGAAGAAAAACAATGTCACCGTCGTTTTGAAAGTCGACCTGCACTGCGAAGGCTGCACATCCAAAGTCGTCAAGCGCATTCGCTCTTTTGATGGTAATAATAAGTTAACACTCTTTTATTGTCGCGTTTAAGCTTTCCTATTTCAAAGCTTCCATGGTTCTCTGTTTTTTTTCATTCCTTTTTCGCATATAAAAAAATGATATGTTTGCTCCAAGCTTTGGTGTTCTGAAAATGGATTTTTTTTTTGTGTTTGTGAAAGGCGTCGACACAGTAACGGCCGGCGAGGGCCAGAAGATAACGGTGGTGGGGAGCGTTGATCCGGCCAAGCTCCGGGAGAAGGTGGAGCAGAAAACCCGCAAGAAGGTCGAGCTCATTTCGCCGCAGCCCAAAAAAGGGGACGGCAAAGAGGACGAAAATGGGAAAAAGGATCAGAAGAGTGAATCCAAGGAGAAGAAAGGCTCAGACGACAAATCTGATCAGAAAAAATCAAAGGATAAAGAGGTATTCAAGTTAAATTTTTAGGAGCTTGTTGGCTGATGTTTTTTGAGTTTCTTCTTCTCCATGGATGAATTCTTGTTTTTCTTTTTGTCTTTACCGAGGCGTACGTTAGCACCCTTCAGGCAGCTTTTTATTGCTTTACTGTTTTTGGCGACCTTTCGAGTCCAAACTTTCTCATCCTTTTTTTCCAATTAATGATGATTATTACTGTTAATCATGAATGGCGAGCTGAACATGGGGCGTTTTAGCATACTATAAAATCTCGTCACTAATTTCTGAATCATCGTCCCGATTTTGCATTTAAAACCCAGATATTCTGAATATTTAATGAAGCTCGTATATGAGTTGTTCACAGACAGCAGTTACGACGGCTGTGTTTAAGCTGAATTTGCACTGCGATGGATGCATCGACAAGATTTACAGAACCGTCTCCAAAACTAAAGGTGAGATTATTAGTTTATCAACACAGCCCCTGTAAATTATCAGCTCATTAGTTTCTGCACCAGCCAAATTGCAAAAAGGGGTCGTATTATGCTTTTAATTTTCATTCAGTCCCATGTTCTTCTGTAAATTAGCTGAAGTGGCCCGACTAATCGAGAAATCATGAAATCCCCAATTGAAAATTTACCTCTATTCAGGAGTAAATTCGTGAATTGGTGTAATTCAAAGGACTAAATTCCGTCTTCTGATTTTGATGCTTCCAGGCTACGAGGACATGAAGATTGACGGCCAGAAAGACCTGGTGACGGTGACCGGCGCCATTGACATGAAGGCCCTGGCCGAGGCGCTGTCGGAGAAGCTGAAAAAGAACGTCTCGATTGTGCCGCCCAAGAAGGACGGAGAGAAGAAGGAGAACGGCGGCGACGAGAAGGGGAAGAACGGCGGAGACGGTGGGGATAAGGCGGATGGGAACAAGATGCAGACGCTGCTGGGCGGGTACCCGTACCCGTATATGCCGGGTCCCGTGGTTATCGGGGAGCAGCTTCATTACAACCCGTACCCGGCTTACCAGTACCATGCGCCCGGGATTTTCAGCGACGAGAACCCGAACGCCTGCACCGTCATGTGAGGGTGGGGACACGAAAGTGTAAATAACAAGTATTGGCAGGGCATTTGTGTCATTCTTAAACCGTCTTTGGGTTATCTCTTTCTCTGGTCAATTTTAATAGGCTTACTTTCGTTTTTGTCGTCGATTTTTGAATCCTTATCGAACTTAGAGAATGGATGTGGCATTTTAATGGTTGCAGTTAAATTATATAGTTATCTTTGGACTTCAGTTCAGCTTCATTGGATTATTTTTTAATTTATTTTTATATTTTATTTGAATAATATGACCATGTCAATATATATTTGATAGTATATATTGTGGCATAATTTTAAAATTTGTCCTATAATTTGATCACTTTCTAAAAAACAATTTTGATATTGACCACTTTCAAATTTGGTTTTATAATTTAATATTTTAATCAAATTTGGTCTTTTTTTAACCAATTTTGGTCTTTTTTTTTATCACATTTTAATCCATGTTCTGGATAAAAAAGACCAAATTTGATTCAAATGTGAAATTATAGGACCAAGTTTGAAAGTGGTCAATATCGGAGTGATTTTTTAGAAAGTGGTCAAATTATATGATCAATTTTAAAATTATGTCGTAGTATTGTCATGTTTAACGAACTTTGTGTCGTATATGGGCCATCGAGTATTATTATAAAATCAACATAAATGTATTGACGTTTGTTTATGAGATAATTAAAATTAGAATATTGTTGGGGATATGCAATAGTTAGAGCATGTCCAATATTTTGGGTCTAGTTTTGCTTACATGGCATGTAAATAGACTTACGTCTTTGATGACATGGACAAAAATATTGAAAATGAATGAAATTAACTCCAATGCAAAGTGACTATTTCTCTATTTGAGTCTAAAATAGACTAAAGGGTAGACCGAGTCTCATTTTTTTGCTTCCATATCAGCATGACCCAAAGTAATTGTGTTTGCATTGGAGTAAATATTTTTTTAGACTGGGGCTATTTTCTACGTGTCTGTATATTCTTTTAAAAGAACCCAAAGCATTGTGGATGCTTAAGTTAGGCGGTTTGTTAAAATAATGACTAACTTGAAAACCAATTGGTATGAGTTTTTCAATGTAATTATAAGTTTGATATAAAGAGTACAACGAGTTGAAAAGCACTCTAAATTCTAACCGTCCTAAATTCCCCTGCCTCCCACCGCCAACACCCAGTCACAGCCGCCACCCTCTTCTTCGGTCGTTTTCTTTAGGTAGAGCCCTGCTGCCTTCCCAGCGCTGCGAGTCGCGGCTCCTTGCGCCATCCGAGGCCGTGCAGTCTTCGGTCGCGGCCGTGAGAGGGAGATCGCGACGCCTCACGTCGTGCAACCCTCTCTTCGGTCGGGTTCCGAGTCGTTGTTTTGTCCTGCAGCCCTCTACCTCGTGCGAGTTATTTTTTGGTGTCCTGGTTGTTGCTCTGTTTTGTCCTCAGGTTTTCTTTTGGAGTCGATCCTTTCGGGCCAGTTTTTTCCCTCGATTAGAAGTCTTTTAGATTTGGGCTAAGGCCTCCCTTCTTGCCGTTCTACCTAGCCATTCCGTGGAGTTTTTAGTTTTGGGGTCTGTTTCTGTCGCGCTTTAGGTCATGTTTGTGTGTTTGTTGTATGTGAAATTTGGCTTGTGTGCTAGTCTAGGGTGCTGTTGTGAGTTATTTGTGTTAGTTGGGGAGGTAGTAGTTTATAGCAAGATTATGAGTGTGTTTAGTTATTTAGTGTGTTATTCTCTACTCGGTGGAGTAATATTATCCACTTATTGGAATATGTGTCTCCCCTTTTGGGGAGCTTTTAATTTATGTGTGGGATTAAGTGTCCAACTCTGGGTTCAGTGTGCTCGCCACTGCCGGATTTTTTTGACTTCTCTTCCTTGGTTTTGATTTAGCACACTACTGTTAGTGCTCCTCCCAGATTCTACTGTTTGGTAGTTGTGTTTGGCTATTCAGTCCTTGTGTTATAATTTGTAATCTCCCTTTTGGTAAATAATATCTATCTTTTCGAAAAAAAATGTACGACGAGTTGACCTACTAACTATTAGTTTGATTTATGCACTCGTTGGTGTAATTCTTGTTAGATAACATATTTGTTGGTGAAACGGATTCACTCGGGCTCCTTCAACTCAGACGGCTCCGTACCTACAAGAACTCAACGCTGGAAGGGGTCCCAACGTCGAGTCTCTGATGCCTAAGTTAGCACTCGCTAGAGATAAAAAGTGCAATATGAGAGCATAGCAATGAATGTAAAGAGAATGTGTTTTTGAGATATCTTAGGCCCCTTTTTATAGGGAATGTGTACCTTAGAGCTCAAGTTTGGCTTGAACAATACCATTATGACATGTGTCCTAGCTCATGTATAAGTCTATTCCCCAATATATTCCGTATTATCCATTAAAACCAATTTAGTATGGTATTCCATATAAATATTTATGTTCTAAACTTCAGTTAATCTCATTTCTTGCATCAATAATTTCGTAGGATTCATGATTTAGAAATTATTTGGTGTTTATAATATACCTTCTAAAACGTACCATATTTTCTATCGTTCATCTCAACTAAGCATTTATATTGAGCAAATTATATATATTTATATGACGCTCAGTGAAAGAAATAAGAATACATCATAACCATTAGATCGAATGATCCAACAGGCTAAAAATAAAAAAACCAAACTTATACCTTCCATAAGGGCATTATGGTAATGTTTCACATTACCTAAACAAGTGGACCCCCCTCCACAT